AGAAGGTGTGGAAGCCTCGCTTCCTGCAACGTGGGGCCGACCGTCATCGCCTGACCCCCCCCCTCAAGACGCCCCCAGGACGGGCGGAGGTGCCGGGGACCCCGAGGTGTCCTTACCGTCGGAGGTGGTTGAGCACCGTCATGTTGGCGTACATGTAGTACAGGTAGTAGGAGTAGGGTGGGTTGTCTTCCTCCACCCAGTTGCCCGGCAAGGGGCTGTCCAGGTTGAAGATGTGATGCTCTGGTTTGGATTCATCATCCACGCTGTCGAAGCCATCCACCTGCGGGAGAGACAACCCCGGGGTGGGATGGTCACCCCTCCACCAGGAGATCTGCCCCAGCCCTCAAGCTGGGTCCAGGCTGGGGGTTGCGGGTGTCACCAGTGTCCCCCGCCCTACCCCAGGAGCAGGACATGGTGCTCACGTGCTCCAGGAAGAGGTGCAGCTCCGGGTGTTGGGCGGGGTGGACGGTGGCCTCGTAGAGGGGCAGGAAGATGTTCTCCAGCATCTCCTGGAAGTTGGCCAACTGCTTCTTTGTCCGGTAGACGTCACTGCAGAAGGACGGACCCCCCTCAGAGACGGGTGTCCCATCCCACCCCACCCCAGCCATCGGTGGGGTGTCCTTGCTCTTCCCACCCAGGACATGGCCCCAGTTGAGGGTACCTGCCCCCCCCCCGTTACTCACAAGAGCCGAGGCACCTGCACGAGCCAGCGGACGTTGTTGGAGTGGACGGTGGTTGTGACGGCCCAGCGGGCCAGCTTGTCCCACTCGTCCCGGGAGCGCCCGTAGATGGAGAGCCGCAGCTCGGCGTTTTGGTACTTGCTCTCCTCCAGGTCGGACATCACCTCCTGCCGGGGAGGGGCAAGTGTCACCCCTCGGCCACCGGGAAGGGGGACGTGGGTGGCATTGCCACCGTGGGCATCAGAGGGAGGGAGATGTGGAGAGTCACCCATCAGGGCCGCTCACCTTGATGATGTGGGCGAAGTACTTCCCCGAGACGCGGTTGTCCGTCTTGATGAAGATCTCCCGCAGGATGGACTCGCCGATGGGGTTGTACTTGGCGTTGAACTTGTCGAAGCGGTGGAAGGTGTTGCGGTCCTGGCAGAGGGACGCAGATGCCAGCTGAGACCCCTCGTCACCCCAGAGCCACCGCAACATCCCTATCCAGAGCCCCCGGCATCCCCCACCCCACCCTGGGACAACCCCTGGAGAAGATCCCCCACTCCGGCCAGAGATGGGCTGGGGGCCCCGCTCATCTCCAGGATTTGGGGCTATGCCCCGTACCGCGTGGACGTCCAGCGTGTCCACGCTCAGGTCGTAGGCGGTGAGGTTCATCGTCTCGAAGACCTCCTTGAGCGTCTGCTCCTTGCCCTTCTCCACGTGGACGATTTCATCCAGGTGCTTCTTCATGGCCCGCTTGATGAAGCGCAGGAGATGCTTCTGGTTCATGCAGGACGAGGCGTGGATGTGGGTGTCCACCTGCACGGCCGGAGGTGATGCTCAGCCCTGAGAGCCTCCAAGTGCTCCCCAGCCAAGCCAGGACCCCCCCTCCCCGAGCCAGCGGGTACCTTGCGGATGTTGTAGAAGTCGCGGTGGGGCACCTTCTTCTGGGCCGCCAGCTCCTTCATCTCGTTGAGCAGCACGTGCATCTGGAACTTGGAGCTCAGGTACTGCAGCCGGCGGTAGCAGAAGGATTTGCTGCCCGAGGTGGGGAGGGGGCGTCAGTTTTGGGGGAGAGGAGGGAGAACATGC